TTATCAAGTAGGATATTAAAGCGTGCCTTTGCTACAAGGCTGCATTTTGCAGTTCAGATTTGACATAATTTCTTCCATCCATTCTTTTTTTTCCCACCTAGAGATGAGAATGTTACACAACTTCCATCCATTCGTTTTCTGAACTGTCCAGTCCATCACAGGGCTACACATCTAGACACAAAGAGACTAACTGTGACACAACTGATTTGTGGAAATAAAAACAGAGGAAACAAGAAATAAAATAATTATTTTTTGGCAAATATTTGTGCTCATTATCTGGGTTTCCTACACATTTCATATAATATACAAAATATACTGTTTATCTGGGAGATGGGGCCAGTGATAGGCTGTTGAGTTAATGCCTCTAGTAGCTGACACCCAGTGAAGGAGAGAATGATCCATTTTAAAGGATAATCCCCTGCACAGAGTGAACCAATGACAGAGGTCCTATCCGGGGCTAGAAGATGCAGGTGTGACAGACAATACTGAGCGGGCTCAGAAGCACTCGAGCACATAGTAGCGGTGGAAGACGCAGGCAGGAATAGCACACGCGGCACACCGAGATCAAGGTGCCAGGATAGTGCACGGAACATCTGTAGAATGGGCTGAAAGTTCCCCAGTTAAAGGGAGGCAGACTCTGGGAATGATGCTTGGCAGCTGCAAAACAGGTTTTCTGCTTTACGTCTTCCCTTTAGCGTTTGGTATTCCTTTTTTCACTCTTTTATAAATGTTGTATTTTTCTTTTTTTTTTTAAGAAAAGCACAATGTATGATTTCCAAAGACAAAACAAATGTTAATGGAAAGAAAAACAAGGGGAATCTGTGTTTTTTCACAGCCTGAGGCTCATAAGAAATCCATGGGTAGAAAGATGCGCGGTAGAATCCAGAAGCACTGAGCTGTGGTTTATGCTCAGATGAAGAGGTCAGTAGGAAAAAAAACAAGAGTCAAAACTGCTTACACAGTGTTTAGCTCCATAAGCTCCAGTCTGCAGGTGGCTTTGGTTATGCCCTGAAGGGTCTACCACACTATTTTATTGGGCCTCTGTGCGCAGAGGTAGCAAGCTTTTATTATTCGGATCCACTTATTAGACCGGTCCCATGGTAGTGCCCAGCACACCTCTTCACGATCGCTGGATATATAACTCCCTAGATATTACTCTTCTGGCTTCAAACTAACAGTCTGAGACAGTTTCCTCCTCCACCTCCTGTGACTCTACATGCCTTGGTACAGGAAGTGCTTACATGGACTCTTTCTTTGTGCAGTGGTCAGCCTTAAGACATAAACATAGCACAGTCTATATCTAGAAATATTGAGCTTATGGTGGAAGGATATTGAAGGAAAATAAATATATGTTTCTTATGACTCATGACTAGTTGTTTTTTTCTCAGTCATCAGTCTCAGTTTTTTCTGGATTTCTCCATTTGCCTCTTTTGACTCAGGTAGCATCATGCATAATTCAACGTCTGCCCAAAGAATAACTAAGAATAACTAAAGACACATCCCACCCCAAATAATTCAATGAAGATGACTTTGAGGGGGCAACAGTCATTGTTACACTACAAGCTTAATAAGTATGTTACGATGAAAAGCGAGTCCACTTTCCCATAGTATTGAGTGCTGTTTGGTCAGGGGTTCCCTGGAGCTAGAGGCCTTTTCTAACCCCTTTTTAAGTTCTATTGCAATGGGCAATGACACAATGTAATTGTTGGATATGTTCAGGATTTTTATAACGTTTTTAGGATATTACAAAATCGTTTTCAACTTGAAACGGAATTTCTGCTTGTGATCAGACACTTCTTTAGCTTTATGTTTTCCTGTGGTCAAGCTAAAGCCATTTTGACTAGGGTGATCTAACCATGCGGGTGATGATCCATCATCGACTTCAACATCTTGTCTGAGAGATATGTTGCACCTGTTCACTGTTACTTTACTGAGACCTTAACGTTAGCTCTGTGCAGGCTCAGTTTTTGGCTTTTACTAAAGACGTTCGGTGACAACATCTTGTCATAAAATATGTAGCGCTATTCCAACCAGGCAACTTAGGAGTCCATTGACTTTAATATCAAGGACAAATGCTGAACAGCAGTGGAAACTTCTCGCAGTTTGCTTGAACTCTCCACTGTCTCAGGCTTCATAACAGGATCATTCACTAACGTTGCTTTTTTGTGTAAAGAAAATGGTTTGAAGGTTTATTGGTTGAAAAGAGCACTGCAGCTCCAGTAGAAGAACTAATGCTTCTGCTACATGGATATGCATCAGTCAAATTATAAAACATAGATTTAAAAAAGCCTAAATGTCAAATTGGCATTGGGGGCATGGCAAGTGATCAGTAACAATTTCTCTAAGAAATATAAATGAAAATGTATGGATTTTTAAGAAATATTTGAATCTTTAAAGGTTTTTGCTTTCATATTCCATATGTTACCTATCCCTACTGTCAAAGTCAAAGCGTACACTGGCCACTGCCAGACGAAAGGGCAGTGAGGGGGAAGAAACTGGTGAGATGAATACACAATGCTGCATCACCATTTTGTCTATTTCCAGCAAAATAAGATCTTCCTCTGCCTCCTCTTTCATGGCCCTAGGCAGGCAACAGAGAGTAGATTTCTCAAATTATAACCCTTAATATCTCTACTGTGGCTCACTAAAAGTGTAGCTGCCTGTGAGGCTGTGTGTGCATGTGTGTGTAGTTTCCCTATATCCACAGTTCAGCACATACTCACACACAGATTGTACAGACAGTACAGACCACATTTAAATAATGGCAGGCAAACAATAAAGTTCAATCATTAATAGAGTCAATTTATTATCATAGAAACAGATCAATAAAAGCGGTATGTATGAAATGTTTCAATCATTAGATTAGGAAAAGGTGGCCGTGAAAAGAGCTAAAGCGAACCAAATGTGTATTTTTTGCTGTGCAAATCCCCCCTATTAAAAAAGCAAAACACTTTTTTTTTTCCTGAAACAATTCCATACAGTTTAGGGTAGTGTGAACCCATATATAGTCACTTGAACACATGCAGGTCTTGGGAGTTGACTGGGCAATGTTGAATGTCAAAATGAACATGGAATGTCATCACTAAATTTAACAATCACATCAGTGGTCGGGTATGTGTGGTTTTTAATTGGTGTGTCACTACATCACAGCAAACTGACGGATAAATATGCCATCCTTAATAATTCATATGTTTGCTCATTTCTTCATAGGCTTTTCCTTCAGTGCTTTATCCGTCTGTTTGTTCAAACTTCTCTTGGTCAGCTTTTTGATCATAATTCTGTTGACACCTTCAATTCTTTGCTCATTCAAGTATCTGTTCACCTGCCATCTATTCTAAATCCATTCTCTCACTCCGACAATTAATCTGTCCAATTAATTTTCAATTCATATGTAAAGTCAGCACACAAGAAACGTGATCAGAAGGTACAATTGGGCTCCAAACAAACTTTTTCTACATTTTTGCAGGCAAAGTGGCACAGCGAATGAAAGCCCCAGCATATAATTGAATACCATATTCAACTCGTAGATTAAGAGCTTTAATTATTTGGTGATAACAAGTCATATGTTGATATACCAGTGGGATCCAAGCTGAACCAGGTACTCTGCAAATCTTCAATGCTCCTATCACAGTCTTTGACCCAGCAATTACAGAAGAAGAAAGAACAGCAGTAGCATCAGTGACTAATCAAAGCAAAGTGTGTTGACCCAAAGTAATTAAAAATAAATAAAGCAATAATAATATCAGAAATCTACAGAGCTGCCCAACACTATTCAAAACGCCAACTTGGCTTAACTGCATGAAATAATCTGCAGGCTTTAAGTTTAGTTTGTAGTCGATACTGCAGACTAGTCCCCACAGAGGATGAATGGACGTTGCAGACTGCTCCTTTCTTTCTAATACCTCCACAAACACTGTTTGAACTTCTTTTATAAAAATGAGCAGTTTTCAAATAAATAACACAAACACACTGAATGTTCCATTTCCTTCATATTGTGTCATGATGAAATTGGGTTCATTCTGTCACGGGAGGATCTGAATGTACTTTTTAACTAAATTAACTGATGATCAATATGATAAGGAGAGCGTGAGAGTGCATAACAACAGCAAACTAGAAGGATGAGACCCAGCAGAGAACTGTAACCACCACAAATAGTTTAAACCACGAGGGCATCTCAGTATCCATCCCTTAACCCTCATCCACCCATAATAATACACACATACGATCCCTTTGTCCATGTACATTTGAGTACATATATATTCATTTATTAATCAACTGACCTGGTTCCGAGCCTCCACCGGAAGTACTATTTCTGGTTGCCACTGCCACGAACTGAGATTTCGACTCTCCAAAACTGAGAGCGAACATTATTTTCTCTTCACTTCATTTCCGGTGAAACGTGAATCTAAAAACAGGCATGACAGCAAAACCATCGATCGACCGGTGCATGCAAACCTAAATTAAGGAGGCGTGGATCGTTCTTATTTGGTGAAGGTGAGAGCTTCATTCACACCTGGTCCCTCATACGGTTTAGCTCCGTGTGAGTGAAGCATAGCACTTCCGTACTCCAAAATAAAGCATTTTAATACAAAACTGCAGCTACGGTTGGGGTCAGTCGGGCAATCCTCAAAGCATCATAAGCGACAGCACTAACACAGAGGATAGTTTAGGGCATCTTCCAGGCCTACATGGATTTGCATAATGCACCAGTCAAATTTGACTGCATTAGCTAGCCATAATGATTTACCAAGGCTAGCTAGTCCTGTCAAAGCAACGTCCTCTACAAAGCCTAGACCAGACTTTTCTTTGCGTGTTATCACTTTTGCTTAGCTTATTTAACAGCTGCTTAAGGCTCCTACGTGGCTAATTAAACAAATCCTCCCTCAGATATAACAATAATCACTAGCTTAAAAGCACCGGTGGACACAACAAGCGCATCAGCTTTGATACGTAACAAGGTAATAATCACAGAAATTACACGTTGATAGTTTAGGCGTTACCTCTTTCTTCTTTTGTCCTCCTCCCGGTGGTAGACATAGCACCAGGAGGAAGAAAACACAAAAGACTTGCAGGTTAACGTGGAATTTAGCCCAGACAGACGCCATGACGGAAGGATGCTCTAGCTGCGAGACACGTCTCCGCCAAGAGATTGGATTACAAATCCACCAATCAGAGTCAAACATTTTGATTACGGAAGTTTATGGGTTTTGTAGTTTTTGAGCTGGGAAGAATAGATTTTAAGTTCTATCCGTGTTTCAGTAATAAGGAGGCATTACCAAAAAGCTATGTGTTTATTGAGCTATGAATTTATCCCTGAATACCTCTATCCAGGCTGATAGCGTTTGTCAGACATTTATCTTTACAATCTGTAGTTGCTCACAAGGGAAAGTTTATAGGCTACTGTGTCATTTTAAGCCTGTCATAATAAAGCAAACAAAGTAACATAGGCAAGCCTACATAATAAAAATTATAAGTAAAAGATAGTCACTAAAATTGCAGGGGAGTGGGGGATAAATGCAACAATTTTCTACTGTATTGTTTAAACCTATGGGGGTACAGACAGAACACCCGAAACCACCAAAGGGAGCTGCCACTTGTTTATATCCCTTAATTACAGCTACCTGTCAAACTGCAGGAAAAAGAAAGTAATTAGTCTTTTTTTTTTCATATTAGTCTGATCTGGGAATATGTATAATTCACAGAACACTGAATACTGAAAAACATGTGATGGCTGAATAACTAAGAGCAATATCCCTCAAGAAATCTGTCCCCTACCGAACCATTTTTCAAAAGTATGAAAGAAAATTAAGTCAGAAGCATGGTATGAAGAGTTACTCTCTTTGCAGTCACTCTTGTGTATTATGGATTGGGTGAATGTTGGGGGGGAGGGGGGCGTGTGTCACGGTCTCCTGATGAAATTACACCTGAGCATTTTCCAACTAATGTAATCCAGTGCATTAGCCTGGTAATAAATATTTCTTTCAAAACATAAAAACATGACATACTGTTTGCAGGCAAGTGCTCTTGATCAATCAGGTTTTTAAAAGGCCTACACCTTGCTGCAAGAAAATCAGCCCCCAGTACAATCACAGGTTTTCAGCAAATTCAGGAATAAATAAAGAAATATGTAAATAAAAAAAACTGATTGCATTACAATGAAAACATGGCAACCTGTTTGAAAAATAAATTCCCAGCTGTATGATCTAATTCTCCAATCCAGAGGAAAGGTAAAGGAAGCGGTTCATCCAGTTTACCCCCATTCATTACTCAGGCATTCTCCTGACAGTTTGATGGTTTAGGTTTAGGTGGAACTCTCATGAGGCAGGCAACTTGGACAAATGGTCCTAATTACACGCAGGATGATGTTATGCTGTAAAACGTAATACTCAAGCCTTTCTGAGTGGGGTTTGCATGTTTTCCTATTTTTAATTGGTGAAATCTTTAAATAGCAAAAATACGCACAAAAACAGTTCAAGAGAAATAAACTAAGAGATGAATTAATGCCATGAGCGGAATGCAAAGCATTCCAGATCAAGTTAATAATAAACAGCAAAGTAGCCAATACTATAGTTGTTAGGGTAGTTTATAAAAGGTCTATCAAGAAAATCAAAGATATGTTGCCAAGGTAAAGGTGTTATACAACTCTTCTGTTGCCCAGGGTACGTAAGAAAAGAGAGTTGCTTTCAAACTATGTGCCTTGTGGTAGTTGAAATAATATGATGCTCCCATGAGCTTTTGCATTCACTGCAGCAAGTAAAACAAACAGCTGTACCTTGTATTTGAGAAAAACAATACAGTTTCTATCAGAGGAACATTTTAAAATGTGCAGTGGGACAGAGAATGATGGAGAAGCATGTTCAATGCTGTTGGTGCTATTGTACAGACACATAATGGATCTTTATAGTAGGTATACTTCCACTCTAAATTCTCTGATGGAGACTTAAGTATAGTCCACTGATGTGAAGAAATTAAAGGAGCTTCATGGTAACATAAGAGTAGAATGAGAGAAATGTGACCAACAAAAGTTTGTAAAAATCTAGTAATTGTTGAAGATTTTGATCGGTGTTTAACTCTATCAGTAGATAGAGGCGTGAGAAACTATTTATGCTGACTGGAGGCAGAAAAAGAAGGAGAAGAAAGGTGGGTTATGTCATTCCCAGAAAGCTCTGCATTGGGTGCCCATATCTGAGGTCAGACACTCCCTTATTAAAAATAACAAGCCATAAGAAAAATGATTAATTGCCTGACAGCATGTTTATGGAAAGAAATAGGGAAAGTTGGGGTGGGGGTGGGATGGGGGCAGCCCAACTGACAGCAGAGCAGGAATCAGAAGAGTGCAGGTAATGCATTACCGAGGGAGTGCAGCACTAAAAGACTATTTGTGGTAGAAAGCAGTGTCTGGGCGTAGACTGGAACTGTAGTCAAAGAGAGAATACGAAGGATGCAGAAAAATGTCTTTCAAAAAGCACAAGGCATTGAGAGAGGAGACAATGTTCAAGGCAAACGGAGAGGGAGGAGCAGAGAGCGAAAGGCATTCATTAAAGCGATGTTCGTTATCTCTGACCAGCTCAGTCAACAAGTGTCCCTGTGTTCTCTAGAGTGCTCTTCAATAGGTCTGCACTTCTAAAGGTAAGGATGAGAAAACCGTAAAGGGTTGGTATGGGTTTGCTTAAGAGCATGCGGTCATCAACTATCCAAGGTGTGGGCTGTGTGATGCATCCATACACACCACCTGCTAACGAAGATGTTAGAAATACTGAAGATGTTTTAAAGAATAGATTTAACAAACTGACTGTTTAAGTCAGGAGGATTTGACATAAACTGAGAAGTAGTCGAAAACTGTAGAAAATATGTTTGTCTGCGAAGGTGGGTTTGAGTGGACACAAGATCTATGCCCTTAACTCCCAAAAAGTTTGGATACCAAATAAAAATTAAATTCCAATTCAAACAAACTACATTTAATTGAAAGTAGTTGACGGAACTGTATTTTGGTTTTTTTTTATTACTTCTGTTTCTCATGTTTTAGTTTCCTGGGTTTTATTTCATTAGTCTTTGGGTTATGTTTTTGTTTTATTTTGATGTCTTTTCCTGGTTCTGGTTTCCTGTTTTATTTTGGTGTCTTTCGTGCTTTCCTTTGTCTTCCTCTTGGGTCTCAGTTTCCTTCACTCTGTTCCCTTCTTTGCTGATTATCAGTGCACCTGTGTTTCCCTCCTTGGGTCTTGTATTTGGATCCTTCCCTTTGCCACACCTCAACCAATGCCTGATTATCTCACAGAAACACATTTTGTATCTTGAAAAGCATTATTTTGGTAACAAGGGAGATAAAACATGTATCAATCCATTATTTCCAACACATGATGTGTATGCACATTGTGGGTTTTGGCCAGTAAAGCTGCTGCAAACCATTTTGTATTTGAGCTTTTGAATTGTGTGATATAAGCTTGGTGGGTCCTCTGCTCACCGGTCCGGAGGACACTGTTCATTAGTCATGATAAGAACTTAAAGTTCAGAGTTGTCAATGTTTTGCATTTTGCATGAATGAAACTATAATTTACTTGGACAAAGAAAGGGCTACGAAATATGTCTTTTTGTGCATGATTGAATGTATTTCTGTTTGAATGGCATCGCTCTTATTGTCAACAGAAATGTTAAAGGAGGAGGTATTTGCTGCGGTTTAGACTGTAGAGAACTGCTGCCAAACAATGGATAGCTCACAGCGAGAAGGTTCCCAGTTCAAAGCACAGCTGGGGGCCTTTCTGTGAAGAGTTTGCATGTTCTTCTCATGTGTGTGTGTATTCTCTACGGGTTCCCCAGCTTCCCCCGACACTCTAAAAACATGCATGTTAGGTAAACTGGCATATCTAAACTGCCTATAAGAGTCTCTGTTCCTCCTCTGCCTCTAACACCTCTGTGTGCCCCTGTGATGGACCGTTGGCTGATCGATGATCTTTGGCTGAATTATTTGAGAGTTGTCTGCAATGTAAATCCACATGTGCCGTTTTGTACCTGCTGCATGGCTTAAGCATCATGTAAAAAATTCATGGTGCTGACTTACTGGTTTCAGCCTGGTTTTGGATTCAATCAGGCAGCGGTGTAGAGATTCTAAGAGTGATGAACAGAGGTAGAATTCAGCAGAGTAGCATGACATTAGGTAGCTGGGCTCCAACACACAGCAGCCCAACAGAAGAAGCCATATTGATATATGTTTAAAATAACTTTGATGATTTTTTAAAATTTTGTATTAGACAATATGACGATCCAACAACCTCACATTTGCTAAATGTAACTTTTTGTCCCTCTAACAACTTTGAGTCACTGATCCAATAGCACAGAACTCAGGGCGGAGATTTCGGCTCTAGAAAAGTGATTTAAAGACTATGTATTATCCATGAAAAAGTGAGGTGCTATGACCATCTGATTCCATGAAAATCCTTTGCAATGCATTCTTCTTTACCTTCCAGCAGATGTCCTTTTATCAATATATAGACTTTCCTCCCCCTCTACTTATTTATTATTAACCTTTTTTCTTATTCAATCTTACATTCTTTCCCCCACCTAATTTTTTTTATACCTATACCTCACAAGTGTAAGATAATGACCAGACCTAGTGGTCAGCAGGCGGCGACACCTTGTTAGGCAGGAGAGGGATTTGGACAGCTTTTCGCCCTGACAAAGACAAAGGATAAAAGAAGAAGTTTCGTGGGATTATAATTACGATCAGCCTGCTCTTCTGCTAGGAAAAAAAAAAAAAACTCCACACTTCTAATATTCACGGAGGCTCTCTCTCTCTCTCTCTCTCTCTCTTTCTCTCTCTCTCTCTCTCTCTCTCTCTCCTTGTCCTTCTCCAGTGCGCGCACGCTCCCACGCGCAGTATACAGCAACCCCTGACTTTCAGCAGAAGCCCTCTCCCAACAGCCTCTGCATTTAAATCTCACTCCTGACTTCAGTGGCAAAGCAGCATTGTCGATTCATCTACTTGATTACCACCCCACCCGCCCCCCCCCCTTCCTCCTCCGCACACACACACACACAAACACACACACACTTTACGCAAACATGCATTTGTACGTCAGTCATTGAAATAATATACAGCACCCTTCCCTTC